ACGTTACACTACATTCCATGTCGGGAGAGCTGATCTTACTTCATGCTAATTGAACGAGCTCAATATTGAAGTCAGCAATTGCCCAGTGGAATCGAGCGCAGACACCGAAAGCATCACACCTCAACAGTTGTTGCATTCATCCTGCTAGCCAGAAGAGCGGACTACCATTGGCGAAAGTGACAATCACTGGAGGGCTAAGCTCCAACCAAAGAATCAAACTAAACCATTCAATTTACTTGCGAATCATTGCTATATTCTCATCGTGCCTTCCCACATGGGCATCCCAGAGTCTAAATCATTCTCCTATCTGGTTCCCTTGTGCTTATGCGACTAACAGATACGTCTACTCACGCACACGGACCCATGACTCGTTGTTGTTTCGGCTACGTCATCGACTGACCAAGAATGTCGCCCGATCAAGCATCCCGTCGACGCTCGTTCACTTGCCGGCCTGCTCCTACTGGCACCGGCCAAGTCTTCCTGCCGCACGTGAGTGCTTCCTGGCTACGCCGTCCGTGCGGCCACGCGAAGTTGGCGATTGCCTATGGAACCCAATGAGCACTCTGCTTCCGTCAATCACCGCCTTGGCGAGCAGTTGACTCCCTGCTTTGGCGATGTTGGCCGACGACGTCTGCGGGCCCTTGAAACTCGTCTCTACCTGAGAATGCTGCAATAAGACCCTGCGATGGAACAGCTGATTAGTTCCTGACAACTGTCCGTCCAGATCGATGATGCTTACCCTTTGATGGGGTCTTCTATGTGTCCGTGTAGCCTTTCTGGTTGTGACCACCAAGCAAGGCTGCTAGCCGGCGATCTAACACGGGTAATGTCGGTCGTATGATTAAGTCCAGTGACGATGCTTTGGTGCGTTCCTATGGAATGCATCATGACATTAGCGTCAAATGAATGAAGAATGGAGTTTACCCCTAGCTCACTTACGGATCGTACTGCTTCCACACGTGTGCGCTTCGAGTCCGTTCTTGGCGTGTTCGGCTGTCGTGCAATTCCTCCAAGTGCGGTTGGTAGAACACCGATCGTTTGACTTCGTCCGGTGACGGTACTTCCGCTTGCCTCTATGGAATGTACCGGAACGTTACTGCTGAGCAGGTGGAAGTGGAATTCGTGTGGAACTCACCTGTGGAACGGGTTGCCACCACCCACGTTGCAATCCGAGTCACCGGTCGTTTTTCCTCTGGCCGAACTGCTCTTAAAAGCAAGGTTGACTGTGTCGTGTGATTTCCAACGTTTAGCCTAGTCCCTTGACGGTTCTTTCGCTCGTTCCTACGGAACGTGTTGCTTCCCCGTAAGCCGAAATCCAAAACGCTGGACTAGCTCTTCTACGAGTATGGCTGCTGGTCGTGTGAATCCACCGTACACTGGAGAATAAGAATGACGAAGCAAAAGCATCCGATCTCGCTGCTGCCCTTGCTCGCTTTTTCCTGTTTGATGCGTCCGTGTGAGTGCAATGTTTTCGCTCTCCCGTTGCGTTCGTTTGCAGCGTCGCCTTGCAAAAGGCCTTTTGCGGTGGAGTATTTTGACTTGGCGGTTGGTCGATGCGTGCGTACGAGCGTACTAATGACAAAATTGTACTAATTCTTCGGCACTTAAAGCTAATGTTTCTCTGGTTTGTTAATTTAACTGAACAAGTGCAAGAAATAAGCAGAATTTGTTTACATCGTAACACAGCTCTGGAACGAATCCCAAATCAGCTACAATAAAAAAAAGACAAAACTGTGAAAGCTCCCTCTGCCTGATGTTTATTTCTCGATTTATTTTTAGAAATCGATGAAATATATGTGTCAAAAGAAGAAGTAAATTTCATGTGATTTTCACATAAACTTTACTTCGATTGATTTATGACACATATATTATATTGTGCTGAAAAGTAAAGCTTATGCTTATCGGTTTCAAATCCATTTCAGTTATTTATTATAATTTTACCGATGTTCATTTATCATATGACGATCATATAAAGGTTACCAAATTATCAGCATTGTAAATGTATCAGATATTCATATTGAATTTACCTGACACATTTTCAATCATATCGTTTTTAATGGATTATCTTATATCGCAAATTTATTAGACTTCCACATAACAGGAATATGTCATATTGGTTCAGTGTAGAGTTAGTAGAAAAGGTGGCCGAAAAATTGTGTTTCTTAATTAAGACAATTTTTTTGAATTATTTAAAAAAAAATCAGTTGCATATGAATTTTTGCAAGGCACTAGGCCAAGGGGTGAGACAGGTTTACTCTGAGTTGCTTTTTTGCAGCGAGTAACTCGCGAGTAACTCAATGTACCTCAATATTTAATCGATGTTCATCGTTTTTTTTTTCTCTGCTTACTCCGTTTACTCCCTTTAAGAATATGCTTCTCATATTAGACGTCAGTTTTGTTTGTAAACAAAGTAAGCCCAAGTATATTCTGAGGCTTTCGAATAGCTTGAATATTATGGAAGAACCTGTGCCGGTGCCAGGTTACTACCAACCGGTGGAAACTAACGATATTAAATTGGCTCACTACTTGACTAGCCTATTGGTCCCAAGCAAATCGATTAACGTACCCCATTCTATTCAAAATTCTAGTACTACACTATGTTTGTTTTGATTTGCTATAAAAGTTTGACAGATAAAATGAGGGGTTCGTGGATTTTCCTATGTTTCAAGGGGTGCATCGATTAGCTTGGGACCGAAGAGAGTACCAGAGCTGAGCCAAAAAGTTGAGCACGTTTCTTCGGGACCTTCTGGTCTTAGAGTTACCTCTATGTTACTACCAGCAAAAACTTACAGTTCCAGCCAGCTTTAAGCAGTTGTTCTTCCTCCTCAGCAGCCAGTCCCAGTTGTCACTTCAAAAGGATCATCGTAATCACGTGACAAGGGACTGACAAATCCACGAACCCTCGTCCAGTCAACAAATCCTTTGATTCGCTTGAGCTGCCACCTCCCCCTCCCCCCAACCCATTTTATAGGGGAAATGGAGGTATTGTCGGCCGAAATGCCCCTAATTTGGGCCCTTACATAAATTCAGCAACCGACTAAATTTTCAACAGCGACCAAAAATATCCATTAGTATCGTCCCAATGACGTGTTCATCTAGATAAAATTGATAAATGGCAGATTTTTAGCGATGGGCCCAATCTTAGATCCATAGGTCAACATTAGAGCCATTTCCCCTAATATAATGTATTAACATATATGATTTACAGTAATGTTCCACCACATGCTCAAAAATGTGCAGACAATCCATTTGGCGTTGAATGATGATTTCAAAGACACAACAAATGGGATGCGTGGAGAGAACTCCATTAAGAATTTGTCAAATTTAAGAGAATCATGTAAATTTAGTTTAAATAGATAAAATCAGATACGATCTCACCAAGTAAGTCCAAATGAATCCACAGGAAGCATCCGTGCTATTGGTGAATTGTAGTTCCAATCAAAGACGGTTCGCTTGATGGGAATCAACATAAACTAGTTCCGTCCAATGTAGAACCAGTTTGCAGTGTCCAAATGTAGTGATCCTCCGGCATGGGATAAAAGATAATCGCCTGTAATGGATTGCTGGATCCGAGTGAAAGTAGACAAGTATCAGGTCCAGCAACTTGCAATTTCTTGACGCGAATACGACGAACAATGGAATATCTGGGTTTAAATAAAGGTTCCTCTTTGTTTTCGAGACCGTACCTGTTGAAACGGATAATCGCGTTCTTGACCATCTTCGAAAATGTTAACCGGACTAATAACCAAATAAGCATATAAAGTCCGAAAAAAAAACGAACTACATCTAGATAGAGCTGGAATTAGGGCGTAACAGCTTATGTAAACAATGACTTCTCTCGTTGATTTCTAGCAACTCAAGGCTCGCCTACACAAACCAACATATCCATCGGGTAGGGTAAGTCTTTTCCTATTCTATGGTAATGTTGATTTGCCAGGGAGAGTCATGCCTTTCGAGAAATCATCGAGAGAAGTCATTGTATACAAAAGCTGTTACGCCCTAATTCCAGCTCTATCTAGACATGTTCGTTCACACGCGCAGCCTACTCTGTGCCTTAAACTAATGATGTAGGTACAAACAATTCATTCCACCTAAATACGGTTTCTGGACCACTTTGTATTGGCTAGGAAATCTCAAACTCACAAAAACCTTCCATACGCCAAACGCAAATTGAATATCCCAGCCATAGAAGAAAAATGATAGATTCTGTGGCATGAAAAATTAACAAAAATTTCCATAATGTCTGATATCACACATTGAAAAACTTTTTAAGACTGCCAAAATTAACAAAAAATCATTGAAAAATTAACAAATATTGCTTAGGAATTGCTTGGCATTTGTATTGGAATCATTAAGAAAATTTTGGAAGATCTTGGACATGACTTTATTTTGGGTACCCCGCAATAATGAACGATCTTAATGAAATATTCAAGATTCTAAGTGAAATATTCGAGATATCGTTCACAGAACTTATTTAAAATATGTATTACAAATATATTTTGAATATTCCAATAAAATTCCCGGAAGTTGGGGACGTGTGTACGACGTTGAAAATTTTCAAAATATTGCTTCGTGATTTGATCGTTGAGCTTGCGAAAATCATTGCCAGGGTAATTGCATTTTCCTTATGTGATATTGTTTCCATCAATCAACCGCCACTTAGTTACACTCTTCGTTTATATATTCATCCGGACTAATAGTCGTTATTTGTCACACAGACAAATGGTTGGGCAAGCAATGTTGCACTGCATCATGAAATCATTTTGATTGATGGCTCTTGTTTTTGTTTCCTCACTGGTCAACATGTTCCCGGAACGAGCGCAGGTTGAAGCTCCACTAAATCTGTCACATGTCATTCGATAAATTGCAGCAATTCCAGTAAATATGTTTTGCGATGCTCATTCATAACCCACCTGGTTTGGCGTGTGCTATGAGTGCAATTCTATAAATTGATATCAAAACCGTAGCTTTGATTCAGTAGCTGAAGTTCATAAGGCACAATGAAAGCCACCACTCAATTGACGTTGCTGCTGCTAGGATCCATCGCCATTGTGGCCGTATCCGGTTGCAGTGTGGCTAACAACGACGGAGCCGAACAACGGGAAGCTTTGTTGGCTGACCCAACGGCGATCCCGGTGCGAAGCTTTAAGGATTACAGCGTGGAAGATATCTACACCGAATGCAATAAAACGTTCGCGATATCGATGGATTACCTGAACGAGATGAATGATACCGGAAGCTTTCCGGATGAAACGGATAAAACTCCGATGGTTGGGATAGTGAATAGAAAGCCGCGGAAACGAGAGTGCTTTATTAATAGAAGATTTCATTCCAGTGCTTTATCCGGTGTTTCTTGCAGAAAGGCGGGATCGTTACCGAAGATGATAAGGTAAACAAGGAGCAAGCCGTAACCGTAGGATGGGTTAAGAACGGTGAAGCAATCGACGATTGTTTACAGGAAATGAGTATGTGCGGTTTGTGTTTATGTGCATTCTGAATTTATGGGTTTTTTTTAATTTATCAGCGGGAAATCCATGCGAACGAGCGTATTTCTTGACGCGATGCGTTAGCACTCGCCATCTCGTTGAAGGAAGAAGCAAAGACAACAAAAAATGATGAATAATGCCAGAGTTCCTTAATATATATGATTATGAAGTTTTGTGATACTTTTTGAATACAATAGAGAGACATTGCACAAAAAATTGAACCAGTAATAATTGTTAGCTGGCAATCAGCATATTTTGTATCACAATGAGGGGTTGAAACATTTTTCGTCTTGTTGATTTGGAAATGTTGCGGTGGCGAACAGAAATAAATACCGGGTTGTGAGCTGCACAAATTTGGGTGTGCTGCTTCAAACTACAAGTAGTATATATGGGAAATGGATGTAATGTCGGCCTACATGGGTTTATACATAAAATTCAGCAATCGACTAAATTTTCAATAGCGACAAAAATATTATTTAGTACCGTCGTCCCAATGACGCGTCGTTCATCTAGATAAAATTGATAAATAGCAGATTTTTAACGATGGGCCCAATCTTAGATCCATAGACCAACATTAGAGCCATGTCCTCTATAATTAGAATAATTTCAATTTACAAATTTTGTTACTTACACTTTCGGTGCTTTCAGCAGTCGAAATTTTCTAATAATCTATTTACTCACTATTTTGTGTTGATTTCAAATTTAGGATTACATTCATAGGCTAAGCAAAATAACAAAATCAGTGTTCACTCGGCTGTCGACAAAAGCAGGCCACTCTCGATGTGGGTTACGCGATCGTCTGTTTTCTCGACAGCAACCATTGTGTGGTCCTCCTCATTGTTCTTCATCAGCAGTTCTTTCGGTCGATGCGTCGTCGACTTTGGAAAGCAACCGTTTCGTGATGAGTGTGTGAGTGCTGACCACGTTTTGTGTCCATTGCTGCAATGGACGCGCTCTGACCCTCGTTGGCATACAACAATTTGCCATACAATGAAACTACTGGAAGCGGCTCCAGTTCTGATGGAGGAGGCTTTTTGGATAGCGGAAGATAAAGTGTTTATTGTGTTGTACCTTTTGACTATAGTTTTAATATGTATTGTTTAGTGACCAAGAATCCTCGGCTCTGTAAAGTTAATTCGGTTGAGCCTTATCAAATAAATTAATCAAACAAAAAAAAAATAACAAATAATTTATTATGTAGATTTAGGAATATAGGACTCTCAACTTTTGACTAGAAAAACTAATTATACACTCGGATTATTGCTGACTGATCTTCCATCCCCACACGGAGACCAAATTCGTTAAGTTAAGATAACAATCCTAATAGTTACTTTCACATGGAAAAGTATTGTTGTTTGAAAGAAACCTATAGTTATTCCAACATTAATTTGACCGTCAAATCAATCTTATCTACCTAATAGATTCAACTGTTCATCTTATACTCAATTCAACTATAATTTGATCAATTATAACATCCGTCAAATTAATTTATTTATATAATTTGGTTTCAAGTGATCATCATAAATCCACATACTTTTAACTTGTGATGCGTAGAGCAGGCCATAAGATAGCTGGCTCTCACGCAGATGAACACGGTTCAAATCTAAGTTGAATGTTCTTGTTCACTTTTTTATGATTTTGCAGTTGTGTTTTTGAGATCGATAAAGAAGCAAAACAAACTTTATTTAATATGTCAATAATGAAGAGCAGTTCGTTTAATGAACATTGTAAAATTTTGCTTTTCTAACAATAGTTTTCTTGAATCAACTAACGCATAGTTGTATTTTGAAGTTTGGCGTTTGTTCATCTACTGAAAAATATAGTTGAGCCAACCGAGGAGCCAACTATGGACTATAGTTGTTGCCCTCTATATATAGTCAAATCAACTATAGTTTCGGGTTATCTCTAAAACAATTGAACAATAGAGTTGTTTTGACCGGAAAAATAATTGCGTCTGCTATAATTTGTTCTCCGTGCAATGATCCGTCTCTCATACCTTGTACAGACATACAAAGTTAACTGTTGTACTACCGTTGTACTGATTTAAGCTAGTACCACAAATTGCAATTTTTGAGGTTCTAGATTAAAAGAGTACAACGGTACTAATTTGTATGCCTGTCTGTGGTAGTACCAACATTTCGCCGCTGACAATCATTGACAGTGGACAGTTGACTCCGCGTTTCGGATCGGGTAACAATACACGCAAACCAAAAATCTATTACAACGAATGTTAGTTCCGTTTCCTATCATCCTCTGTTCATGAACATCGCAACGAATGTTAGAAATTGACATACGAAGTCGAGTATGCGAGAGAATGAGCGCTTCATGTTTGCTTTAAGGCTATTCATATTCAGAAGCATGGAGAGAGCAGTGGAGAAAGCACAGGTCTGATAATCGCAACGTTCGTGGTTCGAGTCCAGTCCGGCAGTCTGTTTCCTATTTTTTTCGACATAACTAATTTACCTCACTAATAAACTCTACATTTTTCGGTCTCCAATTTTCTTGCATTGGACCGCAGCTAGGTATATCGCATCCTCGGTTCATGCAGTCTCCACTAACATCCTCTGATGATGAATCCCACATAATTGTAAGCGAATCTTACATCCCTCGGTTGGGTGTAGTACTTATGGCAGCCTAACGGACTCATCTGTCACCCCCAGGCACAACCTCCACCACTCGTTCCCTATTCCAGGTCGATTTGATGGTTGATCAAGTTCCAAGAATTCTTCACTGCTGCCGAGCTATCGGTCGGATCTGCTACTGGTTGTTGAACCCCGTTCGAGCTGCCTAGAAATAAATGATTCGGAGTCAGTGCTTCACTTTCTTGCGCGTCCAAAGGCAGGTACGTGAGTGAACGGCTGATGAACCTGAGTATTAGCCACAAAAAGGCTTGCCAATGCACATCAAAAATCGACTATTTACATCCGAACATTTGTTTATCTCAAATCGAAGGAAGTCATTTCGCGCAACTACTATAAACTGGACTAGTTTATGTTGATCTTCGTCATGCTTCGTCTACAATTTGGACTTCTACATCAACACATGTCAGGCAGCCTTCAGGTTCAATTGGCTAAACTTGGTAAGTTCGTTCCATTTTGTTAATTTTTATCTTTCAAACCAGTAACGTTGGGAGATCACCTTTTTGTGGTGCGTTACTGGTATAAGATCTACCACCGAACCCTAGTCGTGACAACTTCAAACTAGGGAATCAGGATTTTGCAGTTATCAAAGGATCACATTTCACTCCTTGTTACTTTTTATGACTTGATAATAGTGACAAGACTCGGGTTCTGCATTTCTATATTGTATATTTCAAATAAAAAATATTGTTCATGCCCCAACCGTCAGAAGAAAATGGGGCATCACACCTTTCTAGCTTTGATGCTTCCAACGACCAACCAATCAACGGAACGTACGGTACGAGATGTCCACGTTTCATCCATTTATTGGATTCTGAAGCATCGTGTTTAAATCTTCAATTTAAACAGACCCGATCTTTTCTGAATCATCTTGCCCCTTAAATGCTGCACAGTAGGCCTGGCCGTTTTGATATGTGTGACGCATCTTCGATGTGAAACATATATCAAATAGACAAGAAAAATGATGAAAAAGATTAGATTAGATTAGATTAGATTAGATTAGAACGGCTGCTGACGATGGACTCCGCTTCGATGACAAACGTGTTCAGTGATTCGTCGCCAAGCTTCCGGTCACTATTGTACACGCCCATCATCGCCTGCTTGATAGAACGCACCATGCGTTTTCACGCTCCGCCCATGTGAGGTAACGAAGAAGGAGTGAAGAAACATTTGGTCGTCGTACTGGTAATGGTTGCGGCAAGACCTTGTTGAAGCTTATCCATAAACATGTGTCTGTTGCTAGTGTCTATAGTCTCTCCCAATAACTGCTTCACGTGGATTCTATTCGATTGCCAGTTTCGCAACAGGAAGCCTCCTTTGCTGTGGATTGCCTTCACTAGCTTCGCTATCTCTGCTGCTTCCGTTTCAGTACCAAAGCTGTCCAGGTAATCATCAACGTAGTGATTGGATATGACTCCTTCAACGGCTCTTGTGTACTCTCCGGAAAATTCTGCGGCGTTTATATTTTTGACATACTGGACAGCCGCTGGGGAGCAGGTGGCCTCGAATGTCGCAACGTTCATGACATAGACATCCGGTGATGCGGTCGGATCCTTACAAAACAGGAAACGCAGCGAGTGTCGATCCGTTTCGCGCATCCACGTTTGATGGAACATCTCTTTAATATCGGCGGAGACCGACCACCACCGCATACTGCCGGAACCTTGACAAGACAGTTGGTAACGTGCGCTGAGAAAGATCCCGAGATTCTTCGGTTTCTTTGGATTCACCACCGCTCCCAGAGGTAGGTACCAGACCCGTTTCAGATCGGCTGCTTTCAACTCTTCTTTGTTGGATCGATGCACATATATAGCCCTTCAGCTGGTACACTTTTATCTGATGATAAATGCTCTCCTTCAAAAATGGATTATCCTTCATCCAACGCTCTAGGCGCTCCAATTTTTGCAGCGCCATTCCGTAGCTCTCCGGAAATTCGATTTAGTCGTACCTCCACAGTAATCCGGTCTCAAATCGATCACCAACGCGTACAGTGGTTTGTTCCAGGATTTTCTGAGCCCTTCTCTCCTCGTCTGAAATCAGTTCGGTCACCGGTTTGGCACTAACGTCCTCGAGGGTGAACTAGTCCTTCATTAGTTCGTGCAGTTCACGGTCGCAATTACAAGCATGAAAGTTTAGAGAATGTGACAAGAGAGTGCCACTTCCACCGTATATGCACCAGCCGAGACGAGTTTTCATGGCGACCGGTTCGTTGATGCCACCCTCTTCAACGAAATGGTAAGTCGCAAGTTATTAACGCCTATTAACAACTGAGAGACCTCGTACTTGTCCACAAATTCGTTAATTCGGAGCGTCTGACCCGGCAGAGCAAGTTTCTTTACGGTACGAACATCCTCCAATGTGTAGTGCTTCCCATCGTTAGCGTTTGATACCATTAGCTGTAACTGGTTCAAGTTTGCTTTGATCCTGGATACTTCACCCGTCCAGGTTAGGCACAATGGTGCCGATTTTCCGCTAACATCGATGTCGTTTG